TCGTTGCAAATGGCAAGATCTCATTCTTTTTGTGCATTTATAATTTTGATGAGTATTTCCTTCAAATTTCCCTCGACAATTTGCAAATGCTTCTTTTTTTTTTTTTTAAGATTTAATTATTTATTTATTTGAGAGAAAGAGAGAGAGAGAAACAGCATGAGAGGGGAGAGGGTCAGAGGGAGAAGCAGACTCCCCGCTGAGCCGGGAGCCCGACGTGGGACTCGATCCCAGGACTCCGGGATCATGACCTGAGCCGAAGGCAGTCGCTTAACCAACTGAGCCACCCAGGCGCCCCTTGCAAATGCTTCTGCCTCATCTCTGAATTTAAGAGTTTCCCACAACTGTTTCTCTCAGGTCATTTATAAAAATACCAAGAATATCAGTTTCAGCACGAGGTGGAGTTATTAATTCTGAATATCTATAATAAGGAAAAATCCTTATTATACCCACGTTGTCCTTCTTTTCTATAAACCAGTTAATTCTCCATAACTAAATAGTTCATCTCCGTCCATAGTAGCTTTATTTTAGAAAAACCTTTTATATGAAACATTGTTAAAAGCCTACATAAATTCAGTATGTTGATTTTTTTTTTTTTTAATTGACTACATGCATATCTCTTCCCTGGTCAAATAATAAAAAGTAAATTATTGACTTTTCTAGTACAGAAACTATAGAATTCTAGAAGGCTATGGCAAGTTGTGATATTGCTGATAATTATATAAATTTTTACTTTCAATTTCTCGAATTGTTTACTTTCAATCCTAAGACATAGGATTATTGTCATGTGAATCCAGTTTTGGGGAGCCAACCAAAAGAAATTCACTGTGAGGAGACCTGTTATGATTTTATTAAATATTTTGTCCTGTCCTCTTTCAAATGTAATTTGGCCACAGAAATTTCTTAGTTCACTAACGACGGAATTTATACATGAAAAAGCAGGAGCAGATCACTTTTCCATTAGCATCAGAGTGAGGAAGGGCTGCCATGAAAAATGTGGAGATGCAACAGAAGAGAAGGAATGAAGTAAAATTGTTCATGGAATAGATCATATTTTGTTTTTTTGGTTTTTTTCTTTAAAGATTTTATTTATTTGACAGAGAGAGCGCACAAGCAGGGAGAGCAGCAGTGAGAAGGAGAAGCAGGCTCCCCACTGAGCAGGAAGCCAGATGTGGGGCTCCATCCCAGGACCCTGGGATCATGACCTGAGCCAAAGGCAGACGTTTAACTGACTGAGCCACCCAGGCGCCCCCATAATAATTTTATTTCTAATAGCCAGTATACGTATTCATCAATAGGTGAATGGGTAAACAAATTTGTGGGATATCTCCCTCTGTGTGCTCTTCCTCTCTTTCTCTCTCTCAAATAAATAAATCTTAAAAAAAAAAAAGAAAGTTTATGAACATTAGTATACAAATCTTCATCTAGACATGTGCTTTCATTTCTCTTCAGTAAATCCTATGAGTAAAATGGCTGGGTCATATGTTACATATATGTTTAATTTTTTAAGAAACTTCCAAACTTGGGGTGCCTGGTTGGCTCAGTCGTTAAACGTCTGCCTTAGGCTCGGGTCATGGTCCGGGGTCCTGGGATCAAGCCCCGCATCAGGCCCCCTGCTCTTCCTCTCCCACTCCCCCTGCTTGTGTTCCCTCTTTCACTGTGTCTCTCTCTGTCAAATAAATAAAATCTTTAGAAAAAGAAACTGCCAGACTTTTTACAATTGGTCATACGATATTACATTCCCAACAGCATTGTATAAGAGTCCTAGTTACTTCACATCCTTGTCAACACTTGGAACACAGTGTTTTTAATCTTAGCAATTCTAATATGTATATAATGGTATAACATTGTGGTTTTCATTTGCATTTCCTACTGATTAATGATGTTGAGAATCTTTTCATGTGCTTATTTGCCATTAGTGTATCTTCTTTAATAAAGTACCAATTCATATATTTTACCTATTTTTATTGGGTTGTTTGCCTTCTTATTATTGAGCTCTAAGAATTATTTATGTGTTCTAGATGCAAGTCCTTTATCAGGTATATGATTTGCAAATGTTTTCTCCAAGTCTGTGACTTGTCTTCTCACTACTTAACAGTGTAAAAGAGCAAAAGTTCCTCATTTTGATGAAGTCCAGTTTATCTGGCTTTTCCTTATGGATCATACTTTTGGTGCTATAGCTAAGAAATCTTTGCCAGAAGTTTTTTAGTTTTAGGTAACATTTAGGTCTACGATGCATTTTGAGTTAATTTTTGTATATAGTACATGTATGAATCAAAGTTCATTTTTTGCTTATGGGTATCCAATTGTTCTAGCACCAGTTTTTTGATTAAAAAGAAAAAACTACCTTTACTCTACTGAATTGCCTTTCCTACTTTGTCAAAAATCAATTGAGTAATACATGTGGATATATTTTCGAACGCTCTATTCTGTTCCACTGATCTGTTTGTTATCTTTAAACCAATTCTACCCAGTCTTGATTCTGTAATTACAAGTCTTGAAATCAGTATAAATCCTCTAACTTTACTCTTTTTTTAAGTTGTTTTGGATATTTCTGATTTATTGCATTTCCATATGGTTTTAGAATCAGCATGTCAATTTCTACAAAAACATTGCTGGGATTTTGGTTGAGTTATGTTGAATCTGTTTTTCAGTTGGGAAGAATTAATAACAATGTTGAGTCTTTGAGTCCATGAAAGTCCATTTGTTTAGGCGTTCTTTAATTTCTCTCAGCAATGTTGTGTAGTTTTAAATATACCAGTCTTATACAACTTTTGTGAGATATATTCCTAAATAGTTCATATTTTGGATGCTGTTATGCATGATAGATGAAAGATAGATGAAAGATGATATTATCGTTTTAAATTTGTTTATAATTTTTTCTACAATATAGAATTTTCTATATATTGATCTTGTATCATGCAACTTTGCTAGAGTCACTTATCTTTGTTGTAGAATCTACAGGATTTTCCACATACACAAATAATGTCTTCTGTGAATTAAAATAGTTTTACTTTTTCCTTTCCAATCTTAATGTCTTTTATTTCTTTTTCTTTATTGCACTTCTTAGAATCTGCAGTACAATGTTGAATAGAAGTTGTGACAATGGACATGCTTGCCTTTTTCCCAATTTTTAGGAGAAAACATTCAGTCTTTAACCATTAAATATGATGTTAGCTTTGGCTCTTTTCATAGATGTACCTTATCAGGCTGAGGAGGTTCCCTTCTATTAAAAATTTAATGAGAATTTTTATTAGGAATACGTGTTGGAGTTTTTAAATCCCTTTTCTGCATCTATTGAGATTATCATATTTTTGGGTTTTTTAGTCTATTGATCAACATTGATTAATTTTCATATTTCAACAACCTTACATTCCTGGGAAAGATCTACTTGGTCATGATAGATTATCCTTTTCATATATTGGATTCCATTTGCTAAAATTTTGTTATGAATCTTTGCATCTGTATTCATTAGGGATTTGGTGTATAGTGGGTTTTTGGTTTGTTTGGGGTTTTTTTTGTAGTATCTTTGATTTTAGTGCCTGGGCTACATGGAATGAGTTAGAACGTATGCTGCCTTTTTCAATTTTCTGGAAGAGTTGGTGCATAACTAATTTGGTCTTTAGATATTTGAAAAATATCATCATAACACCATATAATGTTATGCCTCTATAATTATTTTTAAAAGCAATGCTTTTACCATGTATGAGATGTATGGAAGATTAAAAAACCTGAAATACACCATTCTTTGTTTTTCCACAAAGGATCGTCCTCCCGCTAATATTTGGAAAAAAATTGATCAATCCAGGGACTATAAAAATGGCAATCAACTCAGGGAATATCAACTGGAAGGACTCAATTGGCTCTTATTCAATTGGTACAATAGGTATGTAATATATCTTAATAGAAAAAAGTTTAGTGTGTTGTTTTTTTATGTGTGTCAAAATATGTTAAGTAAAATAGGTACTGATGTTGCTATATTATTACTGTCATGGAGTCTTTCTTATTGAAAGTGAGGTTACCTCAGGAAGATGTGTAAATTATAATTTAGGATTTTGACTTCAACTGCTTCATTTAAATTATGCCAGTCAGAATAGAAGAAAGTTGATAAGATGATTAATAATAAAATTTGAAATACCTTTCTTACCATCATAAAACATCTGTTATGTTACAGAATATTTTTCAACTTATCAACTTATACTGCTATCTGCCAATAATTGAATCTAGTTAGTAAAATGTGAGCAATTATATCAGTAAGAATTAAGTAGGTCTATTATTTAAGTCTTCAGCAAAGCAGATTGTCAGCAGTTGATGAGGAATAGAAATCAAAATATAAGAATCTAGTAATGAATTTATGCTATTAATTATTTATTTTCCAAGTTCAAAATGCTGGGTGGAACATTAGCTCACTTTTTTGCAGGGAAAAGATAATTGCAAAAGAAGTGAAAAATGGACCCACAGTTGAGAAAGTATAGTGGCATATACAAAAGAGCAAGCAAAGGCATTATGATTAGTAATAACAGAAAAATTTGATGACACTTTTTATTCAGAATCATTCTTCCATGTTTTTACTTATCACGTGGTTCTTCTGAGTTGTTGCACTCAGTAATTGTGAGTCCTGAGACAGTCATGTGGAGTTACGGGTACCTGTTAATGCTACACAGCAGTCTTTCCTCTGGTTTATATTTTCTAAATGTTAACCATCATTTTTCCCAAGAGACCCTTCCAGGTAAAATAGTTAACAAAGTATTGTTTTGCTTACCCTTCCCCATTGCCTACATTGCTTGTTTTAAACTTCCAGCACGTTCCTCAGGCTGTCTATCACAACCCTACCCTCTTCACCCCCATGTGACTGCTCCATAGAGAGGGCCCATAGGTGAGCTTGTTCAAGTTCTTGCCTGCCCTCACAGCCAGGCCGACAAATGTATCTCCATTCTTAGCTTTTCTTAGCCATCCTCATGTACCAGAAGTTAAAAGGTGCCTCCCCACAACCAAGACTCATGTACCACCTCTGTTCTTGACATGCAGCCCGTCCAGTTTTCTCAGAGCCTCACTTGCATCAACTGTCATCCTGCACTGTTAGACCTTCAAGCCATCTCAAGACTAGTGCTCTCCGTCCCTTCACTCTGTGAACAAATCTGGGTCTAACCTTTCATAAAAATACAAGAAAGAAAAGGATAAACATTCTCTTCTTGGTTCTGTTTTTCCTTCTATAGTGACCTTGAGCCCTCTGTAATTTCATGGAAGAAAGCCTATAGGAGCTCTTCCCATTTCCTCATCTCCAACTTGCTTTAAACCTGTTGCTTGGATTTGAGTCTTATCTTTGAAACGTGTTATTTCCCAATCCACGGGGTATTTTTCAGCCCTGATTTGCTGTGTCCCTGCTGCTTTGGGTTTTGGTTGATCCTTCTGTAAATTTTCCCCCATTCTCAGCCACAGCAGCTTCCACAGTGGGACTCTCTCCAGACCCTGTGATTTGCAGGTCTGCTGGTTTCCCTTCCTCTGCCTGCCCTTTCAGTGTTGCTTTTCCTCCTAACGGTGCTCTTTTGCTCTCCTCGTAGTACAGGTTTGTTCTTCCTAAGCCATACTCCACACCCCCTGTGCCTTCATTTATCAATAACATTCTCATGGTCTCGTATCTTTATCTCTAAGGCCTTGAACTCCAAGCCCATATTTCTGTTTGCCTCTTGCTACCTTAAAATCTATCTCACGGATTCTTTTTTCAGCACAAAATTCAAAATTAACCTTATTGTTTCCTGTTTCCTCTGTACCAAACTAGTTCTTCCAACATATTTTGTATTTCGGTTAAGAATAACACAATAAAGGGATGCTGGCTGGCTCAGTCAGTAGAGCATGCAACTCTTGATCTTAGGGTCATGGAGCCTACTTTAAAAAAAAAAAAAGAATAACACGATTACTAAAATCTGGCTGTCATCAAACACCCGTGTATCTGGTTGGTCACAAAGTCCAAATCATTCTAAGTCATAATTAACTTTGGAATCCATTCTCTCCTCTTAGTACCCCCTCCCTTAGTCCAAGTGCCCACCATTGTTTCCTGCATTATTGCAGTACTTTCCCAGTTAGTGGGCCAGGTTCTAGTCACCTCACCTTCTAATATCCACAGTGGAGCAAGAGTGAACCTCAGAGTACAAACGCAATTGCATCAGGGTTCTTTAAAAATTTTAAGTGACTCCCATTGCATAACAGAATGATGTCCAACATTCTTTATTTATGACCTCTTCATACCTTAGTGATACCCCCTCCTTTTACCCTCATCTCAAAACCACGTTTGGAGTCTCCCAGGTGATGATCGTATTCTTTACACTTCTGCTCCTTTGCTGTGCTCGCTGGCAAAATCCTACCCATTACTGACCTCTTCTCTGAAAGAGAGCTCCTTTTCTACCATCTCTTTTTGCCAGAGTTGGACACTTACTCCTCTGAGCTTCTGTAATAAACTTAACCCCGAGGGTTCTCAACTGGCCATATATTATAATCATCTGTGGAACTTTTTAAAAAAAATTATAGCTGCTTTTATCCTACTCCATACACTTTGACATAATGTGTAGGGGAGAACCCTGGGTATCTCTCTTTCCTTCAGGCTTTTAGGCTCTTCTAATTCCCAGCCAGAGTTGAAAACCAGTGCTTTGTTTGTGCTTCCATGATAGCACATTGCATGATTTATTTATTTATTTATTTATTTGCATGTCTGCTTCTCTAATAGATAAAAGCCCCTGGAAGGCAGAGAACATGTTCTATTTCTTTTGTATCCCATTTTCTCATACTCTCTCTGAGATATAGAAGGTATTTAATAAATGCTTCCTGAATAAATAATATATTTAGTTTGCCTTACTCCTGCCGTTTCATTCTTTAACAAAATCATACCTCTGACAGGTGTTACCTTTATTTTGGAGCTACAGAAATCTATAGTTTTCCCTCTGCAGGATTATAATAAAATTATAGTTTCATATATATACAAAATGATATGCCTAGTCTACACTTAAGCAACTTTTATGTTTTTATAAATGCAAGTATTTTAACTTGATCTTTGATTATTTTGTGTATTTATCTTTAAAAACATTGTAGTGTACAGAAAAACCCAATGTATACGTGGATAATATATTTGTTTATTTCAGACGAAACTGCATTTTAGCAGATGAAATGGGTCTTGGCAAAACCATTCAATCAATTACATTCCTCTACGAAATCCTTCTGACTGGTATAAGAGGACCTTTCCTGATTATTGCTCCACTTTCTACTATTGCAAACTGGGAGAGAGAATTTCGTACATGGACTGATATTAATGTTGTGGTTTATCATGGGAGCCTGATTAGCAGACAGATGATACAGCAATATGAGATGTACTTCAGGGACTCACAGGTGTGTTACTGGTGATTTTGTTTGTTGTTTGAAAGGTCAGGTTTGAAAAAGCCAATTATTATGCTTTCATTATTTTCAAATTTGGGATGAATTTTATTTGCCTACGTACATCTTAGTTCAATCTCTTTATTCATCATATTTATTTTACAATAAACTTTAGTAGCTGAGGAGGACAATGACAAGGAATTAGGATCACGTTCTGGTTCACTATATAGTATGCTGATTTATACAGATGTACTAATTTTATTGTATCCTTAATTTTTCAGCTAGAATAATTGTTTTACTAATTGCTTTTAAATACACATTAAATTTATTTTTAGAATAATACCCATCTCTTTGATCATCCTTCAGTTTTTTCCCTCCATTTTTAAAATTCAAATCTTCAATGAACACCATGGGTTTAAATGCCTCTTGAGATGGAACCATAGGTTCTCTTTCATGTTCAAAGGATTTTGATTTTAGACACATTTGGTTTGTTTTGTATGCAGATACAAGCATACCTCTCTCTTATTTTCCCCTTTGGCTTGATTATTCCAGTGCTCTGGTGATTTGGTGGTTTTCTTCTGCCCCGTATCCAGAAGGCACATTTTCCATTTTACTTTGGCCTCTTTAGTAGGAAACCGAGTAGGAGATTTCTTATTTTTCAGCTAAATACACACATCATAAAATGAAGAGATAACATTACAATAAAGAATTTTCTAGCAGAAAGTTGAAGTCTAGAAAGCATTAAGTGCCAATTGCAGTTTTGAGTGGTAATAGGACTTTAGATTAAGAATTTTATTAAGAAATAATGAACAAGATTATTAAAACAGTTCACACAAGTTATACTCTTTAATTGGAATAGGTTCATTTGCCTGACATTCTGCCGCAGTAGCACCTTAATATTTTTCTTTCACTAATTCTTTTGTTTTATAAGGATCGTTATAACATATGATGTGATAATGTCATGTGATATGCTGCAGGTTGAAGTAAGCTAATGTGCCTAGCCTTCTGCTGCTTTCCTTCCCAATTGTAACTGATTTTCTACCTATTCAAAGCTGAAAATGGATGAATTACTTGATTTAGTCCCTCTTACTTTTATGGTTGAAACAATTACATTCCTATGAAATTAAGCATCTATATAACCCTTTAGTTATTCCTCAGTTTTATTATAACTATCACCTTTGTACCTTTCAAGCCTCTGACATCTCAGATTATAGTCTGATTTCCTTCCATAGTGTTTTATTCTTCTCAATCATACATTTGTAGAATTTAAGAGCTGTATGGTATCATAAAAATGATTATGATTAACTTAGTTCAATCTCATTTTTTTTTACAGAAGGTAGAATTAAATATTGGGAGTTTAAGAGATGTTTAAAAGGGTTACAGTTTTAATAAATGTCTCATATGAGTTTGGTATAATAAATCCCAGCAAAACTGGGATTAATAAACCCAGGTCACTTAGACTCAAAAGCCCTTGTTCTTAAATACTAAACATTGTGATATCACTTTAACTGAATGCATCCTGTCCCCAGTTGTTAGAACTGTATAAATGCCCTAGACTTATACTTTATGCCTCTTTTAATAGTATTCTGCTAGGTCTGTTATTCAACTTAATGGCCATTGTATATAATCAATATGAATTAATCTAATTAAGTTGGTAGGAATTAAACTCTAAATCAGAATACATGATCTTTCTTAACCTCTCATAGTCCCTGATAGTTTACAGCTTTCAGTCCCATTTAAATATTCTCTTGGCTTGGATTCCAGGACTTTGTACTGTCCTATATTACCGCCTATTCCTTCTGAAGCTCCCTTTACTGGTTCCTTCTTATCTTCCCTGTCTAAACTTGGGGGTGACCCCAGGGCTCAGTCTTCAGACTCTTTTATATCCATACTCATTCCATCGGAGATTTCATTCAGTCACATAACTTGAGTACCATCTGTACTGCTAGAAACTCCGAAATCTTATCACCAACTCTAACTTCTTTCCTGAATTCCCAAGTCCTCTCCAAATGCCTATTCAGCTGTTCCACTTTGGTATCTACTAGCCGACTCAAACATAACATGTCCAGAATCCTGAATTTTCTCATTGTAGTAAGTAGCAACACCACCTTCTAATTGTTCAAGCTAAAAAATTTTACAGTTAAACTTGAATCATCTTTTTATCTCACTCTACACCTATCCATCAGCAAATCCTATTGGCTCTACCTTCAAAATACCTTCAGAGCTGAATACTTCTCATGACTTCCAGTGATGATCTCTTGCTTGGATTACTACAACAGTCCCTTAATTGGTCTCCGTGATCTGTCCTTGGCCTCTTTCAGACTATTTTCACTACAGCAGCCAAAGGGACTCTTAAAATACATGTCAAATCATGGCACTTCCTGTCTCACAACCCTCCAGTAGCTTCTTGCTCAGAAAAGGAGCCAGTTCTTAGCATACTTTCAAGTTCCAGTACAGCTTCGTCCCCTCCATGACTCAGTGGGTTTCAACTTCTCTGGCATTCTTACTATGTGAAGACTGCCATAGATACTCCCACTTTAGGGCCTTCACACTTGCTACTTCTTCCAAGAATGCTTTCTGTTCTAGATCTCTAGGTATCACCTGGCTTTCTCCCTCATCTTCAGGACTTTGCTCCAATGTCACTTCTCAGTAATGGCCTCCCAGCCAATCCATAAAATTGCAGTGGTCACCTCCGACCCCATACTTATTCTTTATCCCTGTTTTATTTTATTCCACAGCCCTTATCACTTTCTAACCTTTTTTTTTAATTTGCTTTTTTTTCTTAACGGCTATGTTCTGCATTTGAAACATTGGACTGTAAGTTCCACTTGGAGAATTATTTTTGTCTGTTTTGTGTATTGCTGTATCTCCAGCATCTAGAACAGAGTCTGGCACATAGACACTCAATAAATATTTGCTGAATAAACTACGCAGGTGGCTAATTTTGATAGTAACTATTTATTTTCCATTGTATGTGTAAACTCATGGAAAAAATTAATAAACATTAAAACTGAAATTTCATTGTCCAGATTTTGTAATGGTCATTTCTTTCTGGATCTAAAATTGTTACTATAACTCTTAAAAAGTATAAAACATTTTATCAGAGAATACTTATTTGAATATAATTATATTGTGTTTGGCACAATTTTTTACATTATTCTTGAAAACACTACAATTTAATACAGTTTTAATGCTAAAATTCCTCATCTAAAGGGAGTGTATGCATGTATAAAAATTCCAGTGGAAAATGTTTTATAGCAGATGTCATTAGATGTATTTTTATGCTATTTGACAGGAATTAAAAATTGTGATGACATTCTAGCAAATTATTGTATTTGATAATAAATTTCTAGGGGCGTATCATTCGAGGAGCTTACAGATTCCAAGCCATCATCACCACTTTTGAAATGATTCTTGGTGGCTGTGGAGAGCTTAATGCAATTGAATGGCGATGTGTGATTATTGATGAAGCACATAGGTTAAAAAATAAAAATTGTAAACTTCTAGAAGGTCTGAAACTCATGAATCTGGTAAGTAACTTATCATTATTATGACTTAATGCCATTTCTTAGCTACATAGTGAAAGGTCAGATAGAGGCAGAGAGCTAATGCTAAACTCCTTTTTAGAGTGTGTATCCGATTTTTATCTGTGGTAATTGAGTTTTGTTGTGTTTTGTTTTCTTTTAATTACTAAGGAAAAAAATTCCACATACTCAGCATATGTTGTTTATAATTAATAAATGGGATTTTTAAAGATTTTATTTATTCATTTGCGAGAGAGACAGAGAGAGAACAAGCAGGGGGAGAGGCAGAGGGAGAGGGAGAAGCAGACTCCCTGCTGAGCAAGGAGCCCGATGCGGGATTCGATCCCAGGACCTTGGGATCATGACCTGAGCCGAAGGCAGACGCTTAACCATCTGAGCCACCCAGGCGCCCAATAAATGGGATTTTTAAAAGTGATCTTCTTACTAATGTGTTTGCTTATTTCAAATCAGTCTTTTGCATTTTTTAACATTTTCATTTAATTACAATCACAGAATTAGTACATGAGCACTTGAACAAATAACTCCAATATGCAGAACATTGAAGCGCCCCTTTTTACTCCCTTTCTATCGATGCCCACCCCTAGTTCCACTCCCCACTCCAATATTTACAGATTGGTGTGTATCTTTCTAGACTAAACGTTTATCGGTATACACATACATATGCAGATACTCACATACATATAGAAATATTTAGCTTAGGAATTTAGAGATATTATTAAATTTTAAGTGATAATTTGTACTATCATTAAAAATATTTATTTCCTATTACTATTATGTTTAATTTGTAATGCACATCTAGTATAGAAGCATATTCCAGTCAGCTCTTCATATTATAGCCTTAATGATTTGAGAATCATTCTTGTGTGAAAAGTCAAGTGATGGTTAGCCAAATTATAAAGAATGAGAACCATTTTGTATACAAATTACCATATCAAGAATTGTTATGTATAAAAGAAACAAATACCTTCTTTGTTCTTGAAAGGTCTGTTTCTTTGAGAAAATCCAAAATATGCTTAATTATTTGGAACTTTTCTTTTAAAAGCGTTCTTGAATAGGTAAAAATAGCATGCAAAGTGAGGTATTACAAGAATGATACAGAGTTTTTAAAAGGCGATTGAGAAAGTAAATTAATGAAGATTCATGAGTAGAGATGTACTTTGAGTTGACTCTTGAAAACTATGGTTAGAAAAATACTTGCTTTTGAAACACTGAACATTTAATAACCTACATCAGCTTTCATATAACTTTAGTCTGTGGTGTTTGACATGAATTATTCTTGCTTTATGTAGGAACACAAGGTGCTTCTGACTGGCACACCTCTCCAAAATACAGTAGAAGAACTATTCAGTCTTCTGCACTTTTTGGAACCTCTAAGGTTTCCTTCTGAATCAACATTTATGCAAGAATTTGGGGATCTGAAAACAGAGGAACAGGTATCCTCATTGGTCTTTGTAAAGAAGTGCATCAAACCTCTTATCACTGTGATTGTGTATGTGAGTTTGTAACTGCATGCGCATACATGTTATGTATCTTTTCATCATTTTCTTATGCAGGTGCAGAAACTTCAGGCAATTCTGAAGCCGATGATGTTGAGACGATTGAAAGAAGATGTGGAAAAGAAGCTGGCACCAAAGGAAGAAACCATCATTGAAGTGGAACTTACTAACATTCAGAAGAAATACTACCGGGCTATTTTGGAGAAAAACTTCTCATTTTTATCCAAAGGAGCAGGGCAGACTAATGTCCCTAACTTGGTCAATACCATGATGGAGCTCAGGAAGTGCTGTAATCATCCATATCTTATCAAAGGTAGCTAGAAAGGATTGCAAACAAATACTTACGTCTTTGAACAAATACTCATGAATTAAAAAAATAAAAAAACCCACTACGGCTGCAGTGGCTGTTACAAGGAAAGGCAATGATGCTCCAACTCCCCAGTCTGGTGCTCTGAGGGGGTACAAGTGTTTCAGAATCAGGGTGCCTCATGATCAATCACATGCCAAGTTACAGGAGCAGGACTTGCATTCAGTCTAATGGCGACTGGAATTCCTTCTCCAGTTGAATCCTCCTCCTGGGCAAAGGCAACAAAGTCTACCTTTGGGCCTCTGGATTTCCTTTTTTTTCCTCCTTGGTCTCTTTCCAGTCCAGGTCTCCGGTTAGTGTCTCAGCTTTTGGGCTATAGTAATGTTACTTTTTAAGGTCTTGTTAGGTTCTTTGCTAGTGTTCTCTCTGTGTATCATTTCACTCATTCCTGAGAATATACTCCCATCTTTATCCAGGACATGTGGTTTCTTAGCCCTATAACTCACTCTCTTGCAATACTGTTATTCTTTAATGACCAGATGAGTGGAGAGAAGGTAGAGAGCCTTTAATGCTGATTAGACTCTCTGGAGGAAGTATGCATCACAAAGACCTATAACTTGACTTCCCTTTTAATTGTCCTTGTTTCCTTGTTTCGATGGCCAGCAGGATACCCATAGACACATCAAGATTAATTATGATCACCCTTCAGTGATGATCACTGTTGTATTGGTGTTTAAATAATAGATGTTTGTTTAAAAATATATGTTTACTCATGTAGGTTAGAACCACATTTTCATTAATTCCTTCCCTAATAGCATTCATTAAACATTTATCAAACATAAATTTGTATAAGGCATTATGCCAGAGGTCTGGAGAGACAAAAAGATGCTTTAAGACATTGTCCACATCCTCAATGGAATTATAGTCTGATGTTGATGGGTGTTTAGCCACAAACATAAATAATTCTAATAAAAACACTGTACCTGTCATCAGAAAATTTTAATGTGTTACAGAAGCACAGAGGAGCACTAATTCCAATTTTTTTAAAAAGAAAGCAACTGGGATTTCCTGCGTCTGTGCATTGATGCTATATCTTCATGTTTCTTTGACAGGTGCTGAGGAGAAAATACTTGGAGAATTTAGAGATACATATAATCCAGCTGCTTCTGATTTTCATCTTCAAGCAATGATCCAGTCTGCTGGTAAATTGGTCCTTATTGATAAATTGCTTCCCAAAATGAAAGCCGGAGGTCATAAAGTGCTCATCTTCTCTCAGATGGTACGCTGCCTTGACATCCTGGAAGATTATCTCATTCATAAAAGGTAAGGCATATGATTCATCTACTGAATTATACTGTGAATTACACTAAATATATGCTATTAAGGATTTTGCATCACTGTACTGTAACCCATCTTTATGCACATCTTTCTCTTTATCTAGGTAAGAGCCCATTTACATTTGAGTAAAGATAGTTTAGGATTATGTGTCAGGTGTTCTAACCTTCGTATGTTGCAAACAGTAGGTGGAGCTAAGGAGACTGATTAAGAAAACTTTGTAAATTGACAAGTATTTGTTGACCTAGGAATGGGTTTATTAGTGTCCGTTTTACTTGATTTGTAAATCATCCAGTAATGACACTTTAAATGAACTTATAACCATCTTCAAAAATAAAAAAAGTGGTTCAGTACCTTTTCAGATCTTTCATTATTGTCATTAGAACCTGAACTTGCTGCACTTTGACTCTTACCATATACCATTTGACACTTGTTCATGCTTTCAGTCTTTTCTCATTTGTTTAATGTGGGGTTTTCTTTTGGTGCATGACAATAAGATAGTCTTCAGTATTGTCTTAATTAGTATCTAGATAAATAGGATATTTATCGTAGGTTACTTTCTCAGAACATTAGTGGTCCAGATACCAACATATTACTCTAAAAGGGAATCTAAAGATGTAGCTGTAGATTTTGGTTCAGCAGATTTTGACTCTTATACATAAGTAAAGGTCTGTACTAATTTAGATTATCAGAAATTGTGCAGTTCATTTTTTTATTTATTTCTAGTTCTGTTTTTAGTGTCAGTGTTCTACTCTTTTAGTCTAATTCCAAAATGTATATTATTCTCAATGCATATCATATAAGAAGGAAGATAAGATTGCAGTATTCCTAAAAATAGTTATTCTTACTTCTTATCTCCTGATACAAAGAACTTTGTAAGATAAAGATGAATTTCATGGAAAACCCCAAATTTCTTTAATGTCACATTATTAGAAGTCACATCCCATTTCATAGGTACTGGAGACAACAGTGAGCTCCTTCTGAAACTCTAATAAATTATATGTGTAAAGAAGTGTCTTGAACCAGAAGAGGAGTGGTAAATATCCTGTGTATTCCTCTTCTAATTCCTGAATTTTTATATATTTTAATTTTATTAATGTCTATCAGTTTCTGAATTTTACATAAATGAGGAAAGATAAAAGAAGTTAAAAGTTAACTGCTTAACAGTAATGACTCTAAAGAATTGGCATTCTACAGCATGTTTTGGAATGATCTAGAAAACTGGATTTTTTTAAGTAAATTCTTAATGTTTCAAATATTGTTAATATCTTGAAAATTTGTTAAATGAGGTAAAAAGCCTTAATTACTATTTTCAGATCCTTCAATAAGCACTTATTTAAAAAGTTGGAAAAAAAATTAGTGTTCTGGGGGCTTTTGGGTGGCTCAGTTGTTAAGCATCTGCCTTAGGCTCAGTCATGATCTCAGGTTCCTGGGATCAAGCCCCGCATCGGGCTCCCTGCTCAGCGGGAAGCCTGCTTCTCCCTCTCCCACTCCCCCTGCTTGTGTTTCCTCTCTTGCTGTCTCTCTCTCTGTCAAATAAATAAATAAAATCTTGAAAAAAAAAATAGTATTCTAGTTTGCCCTTGATAGATTATACAGTTTACAATCAAGTATATCTTGAGAGGGGTGCCTGGGTGGTTTAGTCAGTTAAGTGTCTGCCTTCAGCTCAGGTCATGATCCAGGGGTCCTGGGATTGAGCCCCATGTCATGCTTCCTGCTCAGTGGGGAGTCTGCTTCTCCCTCTCCCTCTACCCCTCCCCTCCACTTGTCCTTTCTCTTGTTCTCGCTCTCTCTCACTCTTTCAAATAAATGAATAAAATCTTTAAAAAAAAAAGTGTATCTTGAGAGATTAACATGATTGAGACGGAAATACTGGTAGGCTTCTTGAAGTTTTATGAAGGTCTTTGCTTTTTGTAAAAAAAAAAGTCATTATATAATGAGATCAGCAAGGTAGTTTTTGCGTGTTTTTTTATTCCAACTTCTGAAAATGATATTCATTGTGATGGCATTTTACCTATACACCAGGAATGCAAAGATTTTGTATCTTTATATTACTTTGTATTTCCTCCCTACCACCAACACCGAGAATTATAAAACCACAGAAACTAGTTGGGATGATATTGCTTCTTAATTTTATAGTAAACATAATGTTGCAAGGAGACTGACTTTACATTTGATAGAGTGTGTCTTTATTTTCATTATATTCATCTAAATTTATGACATTTCATTTGATAGATATTTATATGAGCGAATCGATGGAAGAGTCAGAGGGAATCTTCGACAAGCTGCTATAGATCGATTTAGTAAACCTGATTCAGATCGATTTGTTTTCCTTCTGTGTACCCGAGCTGGTGGGTTGGGCATCAACCTAACTGCTGCTGATACATGTATAATTTTTGATTCTGATTGGAATCCTCAGAATGACCTGCAGGTAAATACATTGCTTGGCTGAAAGAATTAAATTTCTTTTGTCATTCCTAGAACTGTTTTTGATACTCCACCTCTTTCATTTTTATCTGAACAAACCAACAAGTATGTTCCCCTAAGAAATATCTCTGCCAAATAAAATAGATTAAATTATCTTAATTTTAATTTAATGACAATAAAATATACTTATTTAGATCATGTATCTTCTAAGTAGGTTTATCTACTTGAGTACCATATTTGTTTGAAGTATATTATGTAAATTTGAGAAAGGCCTAAGCTTTAAGAATGACTTCTTTGTGGGGCACCTGGGTGGCTCAGTTGGTTAAGTGTCTGACTCTCGGTTTCGGCTCAGGTCCTAATCTCAGGGTGGTGAGATCGAGCCCCACCTTGGGCTTCACACTCAGTGTGGAATCCACTTGAGTTTCTTTCTTGCTCTGCCCTTCCCCTGCCCCACATGCTCCAACGTGCACTCTCTCTCTCTCTCCCTCCCTTTCTCTCTCTCTCAAATAAATCTTTTTTTAAAAGAATAACTTCTTTATAATAAATAAAAATTTCAGAATCTTTCTGAAAAATAAGCACTTATCCTAATTTCATCTCCTCAGTCATCATATAATATCGTCTGCATGGAATTATGACCTAATAGACTCTGCCTTTTTATGAAATACTGTAAAAATTTAAGATATACATCTAAGTTAAGACAGTACTTGGACCTCATAGAAACAGGAATATTAATATTAGTAGAGTGATGAAGTAGCATCAAAGTTTGCAGAAGATAAGCATCTAGGAAAGATATGAGAACATAAAGATCAAGAGAAATTCTTCTTTGATTGTTCATGGTAGTCTTTATTGTATTGCAATTAATATTAGTACTTTAAGTAGTTATAATACCAAATATCGTAAATTGTTATTGAGATATACCTGACTTAATAAAAAAAAATAAGGTTTTAACCTCTCATTTGTGTAACTATATGTAATGTAGTTCAAAATGTCAAAGATCCAAAATTAATAGATTAAACCAGGGACAAACTCTTTCTGTAAAAGGCCATTTAGTAAATATTTTAAGCTTTTGTGGATTACATAAGGTCTCTGCCACATGTGCTTTGTTGTGTTTATGGTCCCTTAAAAGTATAAAAACCATTCATAGTTGGCAGGCCAGATTTGGTCCACAGGGTGTAGTTTACCAATCTCTAGGATAAACCCAAATTATATTTGCCTTTTGGATGCATATTTATGCTTACACTGCCTGCAGCACATTTCATGTTCTAAAAGTTAATCTAAAATAAAATCACATGATAGAACCTGAGGAGGAACTGGAAAAACTGTATCAGATTCCCCAACTTCTTCTTCTCACTTGTTTTTTCCTACTTACTGCTAATGTAGATCTAGTCTTCATAGACTAATGAAAAATTTGGCCTCTTATACTTTCCCTAGACCCGGAGCAAGGTTGTTCATGCACAGTTCTGAGTTGTAAAGAGCACAAAGGGTATATATGATAGAGTAAAAATGTCAGCAAAGAGTATAGCATCAATGCCACCTATAAATTTTAAAGCCACAATTTATAATTTAGTCTTCTGAAGATAATGGGAAGGTGATTAACAATTTGGGAGAAAGACCACTGATTCCTTGGAACCTTTAGAGTCTAAATTTAAAACATAAATTTTAAGTTTTGCAGAACCCCAAGGTAAAATATAAAGTTCTTGGTGGCTTGGGCGCTTGGTGGCTCAGTCGGTCAAGTGTCCCATTCTTGATTTCAGCTCAGTTCGTGGTCTCAGGGTTGTGGGATCGAGCCTCAGGCTCCACGATGGGCGTGGAACCTGCTTAAGATTTTCTCTGTCCCTCTTCTTCTGCCCCTCCCTCCTTTCCCTGTCTCTCTCTCTCTCTCTCCCCCTCTCCCCCTCTCTGAAAAAAAAAAAATAATAACAAAGTTCTTATGTAATTTCTGAGGTCTCTACTTCCAATATGTATGCATATTAACTAACTAGTTCTTTCTTTGTGTAAGTAAAATTATGTCTCCAGAGATACTCACCTTAAGTTTTTATCCCCCTCCAAATTACCCAGCTTAACTAAAATGTATTGAAAAGTTTGTTAATAATGTAGTAGAAAAAACTTGAGAAATTCAGGGTTATGTTTTAAGTTTAAAGGTTGAGTTGCCAGCAGCTAAAAATAATCTGTTCATAGAGTTTACATTCCTGTCTAAAGTTATCTTGATGATACCCTCTTTAAAAAACATTAATTCTTCATGGATTCATATTCTCTGAAATATAAGCTTAAATTTTAACTTACTGCTGATTGTGAAGTCATTTCTCATTTTAGTAAGCACTACCTTAATTTCCAGAAAAAGGTTAGAGCTAATTCAGTAGCAAGAGTTTCTAAAAATTCTTTCATACTTTTATATTCCATTGAGATAGTCTGTTGTTAAATGCTTTTTGTGTAATCCCTTTTGTGCTACTTTGTAAAAAAAATTGAATCTATAACTTTATTTTTTATAGGCCCAAGCTCGTTGCCACAGAATCGGTCAGAATAAAGCAGTTAAAGTCTACCGACTAGTAACTCGTAACTCATATGAGAGAGAGATGTTTGACCGAGCCAGTCTGAAGCTGGGTCTAGATAAGGCTGTGTTACAGAGCATGAGCGGAAGAGAAAGTAATGTTGGTGGTGTATGTATATTTTCTTTTCACTTTGAAGTGTTTGTGTTCTTACTTGCATTTAATTTTAACTTCAGGTAGTATATCATTTAATTTTGATCCATACTGAACACTATAGATACTTTCACATAAGGAGGCATTTCAGAATAGACCTATATTTAGTTAATGCTTGTGAATTCTAAGACCGTTTTCAAGGCCGAACTTATTTGCTCTGCTTTTAGGATGTTTGTATCATGGCATAGCAAAACAGAATTTGTGAATTTTTCTGCATTATTTCTGTAAACAGCTTTTCAAATTGTTGTGTGTGTCAGACTACTGGCATTGGCTTTGTTTTGTTTTATGTGATATTTTTTGGCATTTTTTCCACTCAAGATCATTGTCTTATATCTTATGCTTGCAACAGCTATAGAATCCTAGTACTAAAAAGAACCTTGAGAGGTTACCTGCCCCATAGGCTTTGTCGTAACTGAAGCTATTAGAGGCACATGGCAAATTTTACTTTAAAGATAATAAGAAAGAAGTCAACAACTTCAGTGTATTCTTTCAGAGAATTCTCTCTTGTATATATATCATAAACCCCAAATGCAGTTTAAACCTGACTCCGTGACTTTGAAAATTTTTAGGGATGCTTTCTCATTTTAGGAACTTCAAAATAATACTGTTACCAAAATTATTTTCTCTTTAGATTCAACAGCTTTCCAAAAAAGAAATAGAAGATCTGCTTCGAAGAGGTGCATATGGTGCCATTATGGAGGAAGAAGATGAAGGCTCTAAATTCTGTGAGGAGGATATAGATCAAATTTTACTACGTCGGACAAAAACTATTACAATTGAGTCAGAAGGACGTGGGTCAACGTTTGCCAAGGTAACAGTGAATGATATTTTATAAATATACTAGTAATGTTTATGACTAAAAAAATTTCCCTCTCTTAGTCTATTAATTATTTGCAGAATATCTACTTAATGTTTAAATAAAGCGAATTAGCTTTAAAAAGCAGAAGGTAATATATTCTTTTCCTTCATTTTTTTTTTCTGACCTCTGATATCAAATTTCACATGTACTCTTCTGATCCTAGTGAAATGGAGTAAGTGTAATAACTGGAAATAGTTCTATGCATTAATCAGAGTAGAACATTTAAAATGTTTAGAAATTAAAGAACATATATGCTGAAGCCTGAGTAAGATGTGAGTAATAATGTAGGAAGTTAAATCATCTTACATTAACTGACTATAATTTAAAGTACTTGAAGAAGAGAAAGGATTTCTAATAAATACTTAAATCTAATTTAGGGAGGGTAAAACGAAATTTGTGTTTTGGGAAAGGAAGTATTAATAACTCTACCTTATTTTGGGAAAACATTTCAAAAGTTTACTAATTGCCTTTATATTCACCGCCCCCCCTCTTTTTTAACAAAGAGATATGGGGTAAACCTGTATCTTGTATTCATTTGAAGAGTTTCTTTTTTTTTTTTTTTTTTT